TATATATATATAACAAAGATGTATTTACAGATACATTTTTCCTCAAGTTTCTGGCACCAAAATTGAATTTTAAAGCTAGAAATACCACTTTTAACTCTTTGAAAAGCCAATGTACATGATTCTAATAGATTCTGATTTTTTAAATTCTTTTCTCTAAACTCTTGAAAAGTTTTAAAAATTTGGAATACTTTATTCCTACATTCATTAATCAGGCTACACTGACAGTCATTACAAAGACTAGGTACATTCAGCTCCCTGGTCCACCACCAGGATCTGCCTTAACCCTTCCCCCCGTCCCTGAGGGAGCCCCAGGCGCCCTACACTTCCTGCAGGGCAGCCCTGCTTTCCAATCCCTTTGGTGGCCGTGATATCCTTAGATCAGTTCTTCTTTTACTTAATTATCAAGCATGCATCAAGTGCCCAATGTTTCCCAGACTCTACGTAAAACACTGCAAACAAGTAGCATGAACGTCTCTGACTTCAGAAAAGTTGAGAATCTAGGAAGGAAAGTCCCTGGTCTGACTAGCATTCAAGGCTAACCCTTGACACTCGACTTAGCCCAGGTTAACTCACTCTTCCCAGAAATAGAGCCCCAGCTGCTGGTCTGGGTTCTGCTTCAAAAAAGAAAGAATACAAGAATGATAATCCTACCATCTGCGTAACCGGGACTATTCTCAACATCTGGTGACACTGACGCCAGTCCTTGACATCAACCCAGATTGAGAGAAGTTCACCTACCTCCTGGATGGTACCACCACTCCATATTTGGGTCAGTTCTGATCTTCACTGCCTTTTCCCCCTTTCTCCACTGGCCTGGCACTAAGGTAAAATGTCTCTGACAGGGAAAGTGTACAGATTCTCGGAGAAAGGAATGACATCTAATCACCAAGATCCTATCCATATCTAACACTGTATGGGTTCTGATTTTCACCAACCACGCATTTCATTCTGTGAACATACTTTATTTTTAAATAAATATTTACATCTCTATCAATTATTAATAAAAGTCACTTATCGGAGGTGCCCTTTAATTTCTATCATTTACTGTCCACAATAATATAATTCAATAGATACTATTATCAGCTTCATATACAGATGAAGAACTGTAAAGGGGTATGTATGTAATTTACCTAATAACGCACTGTTTGCATGTGGCAGGGCTGAAATTCCAATCCTTGGAAGCTTTACCTCTAGAGTTGTCTCTAAACCACTGAACTATGCTCCTTTCCCCATCAGCATACATGACATTATGATTTATGCATCATAAAAGGTATGAGTCCATATGAGAAGAGTCAGAGTTCAGAGACAGCATGAGTTTTTGCTTCATGGTTCCCCTTCTTGCTGTTGCATATGGAAATCGTATATGTGTTCCTGTCTCATTTGGTTTTCCTGTCAGACAGACTTGGGTCTGAATTCTGACTCAATCACTTTCTAGTTGTGTGACCTTGGGAAAATCATATAATATCATCAACAATTTATTGGCTATTTTCTATATGCTAGCCTTATGCACTAAGTGCTTGGCATACACGGTCTCATTAAATTAAATTAAATCTTCATAAAAACCCTGACAAGGAGATGATAATCTTCATATTTTAGAGCGTGTCAGACTACAACTGAGAGAGTAAGTAGCCTTTCTTTCTAAGGTCAAAGAGCCAGTGAGTGAACAGTAGTCCAAGACTGAGCTGAAAAGAGGCTCAGGCAGAAGCATCTTGATGGCACTATGCCATGAAAATGTTAGGACTGAATTTGGGAACTAGCACTCATGGCCAGGGGTTACAACTAATTAGAACCTCTGCTCATTGTCCACCAGTCCAGACAGTTCTCATTCTCTCCAAGAAAGGATAGGAATACATGGGAAAGAGTAAACAGTGTGAACTGAGAGGTACCAGTCTTATGAGTTGAGTGATGGCAGAAATAAATACTCAGGGATCATTACGATGGGGATTAAGAATCTTATTTTGAGAACTAGCCTAGGACTGCTAAGACTTTCAGTGAACAAGTACTTCATAATTTTTTCTGAAATAAGTGTTATAAATTCCTATCCCAAAAGTACTCCTGCTATTTTTCAAATTGAACTTCCTAAAAAAGAGCATTCAGAGTTAACATTCTTAGTTTTTCTCTTAGGTCCATATTGGGTCTTGAGTCCAACTTGGGCATCATTCAAGGGGACTGGATTACAATTATACCTCCCAAAAAATCACATTAAAGGAGCCTGGGAATGGCCCTACTGACTGGATACCCATCATCATTTAAGTCAAAGAGAATTTGGATTTTGAAGTAATAACTCTAAGTCAGACAGCCAGAAAGCACTAATTAATAAATATATCAAATAATTTCACATACATATTCTAATTGTAGCACCGAGAATGTGCACTCTTTCCACTTTCATGATATCACAAATAAACAGACATCTTTAAAGATGCAAGCTGAGGGATTTTTCAACTTTGGAAACAATGGAAATCAAATTTTTTTGCTTAGAAACAGAAAATGAACTGCCTATATATACACAAAGATCTAATCTTTTCAATTTTAAGAATTTAAATTTTCAGAAACCTTCAAACGCATGGGATAAACTGAAATAAATGGCATGCCGGAAGTTCAATACTCCCTTCAAACAAAAATATTTTAATGATTCTTCCACTGTACTTTTCAAAATCCTCAGATAAGGAAAGCCACACTAAACAAGGCAGAAATAAAAGGGCAATTCTAAAGGCCTCAATCAGGCTACATTGCAGAAGTGAGCCCATGTTTATCAGCCATGATCAGACACATTTGATACTGCAGAAAATCACTTTAATTCCTAGAATCTATTCACTGCCCTGCAGACAGTAGCAGGACGGAAGCTCGAAGGGACCGCAACTTTAGCAAACAGCATTGCGTAGAGGCAAGTGCGTGGGATTAGAATTCAGTGATTTGCATTCTGGTCTTGGCTCTGGGCTTAAAAACTGCGAATTAGCAGTCCTCTGTTTCCTTATCTGCAAAAGGATCATTTATTTATTCAATAGATTTTTTCTATTCAGGTAGTGGCTGAGAGCTCCATGGCACCAATATTTTAAATCATGTACCTTTTTTGTATGTCCTAAGAAAAGAAATCACTAAAGTCTAAATATTGCTGTACTGAGTTCAGCTTATGTGAAGTTACTTTGTCTCTTACATTAAACATGTCCCTTACATTAGATACCACTAATTCATTATGTTCTGTTAAAGATATTTTAAGTAATTTTAAAGTTTCAAAATAATTCTGTAAATGCCTATAATAACATCAATCACTCTATCTTAATATTTAATTATGTTAAGTATATGATTAACATGATAAATAATGTACAACATAGTATATTATGTAATATGACAATTATATATATTGTTTCAATTCTTGTCCTAGAGGAATATAAGAATTCTAAATAAACAGAAAAAAGGGAAATGCACTTCATAAGTCAACCTGAGAATAATGCAAACTCCTGGCTTGAGACTGTGCCTTGCATTTTCAAAAACCATAAACTCATTATAAATGTTAAGAATTAAAGCATTACAGTTTTCTTTTTCTGTTTTTACATATGAAATCAATTACCTAATTTAACACAGTAGAAAGCCTTCAAAACATTCCATTTACTTATACTTTTGAGGTCTAGAGGAAATAAAATCGGGATATTTTCAAGTGTAAATAAAATACTTTGTCGCACATCTTTGAGTTTTAAAAATAAGCATCCTAAATAAGCACTATCAAAAAGTCTGATTGTTCCTTTTGTACACCTATTAGTATACACTGTTCTTTTTTCATTTTTAAAACCTCAGTTACATATTTAGTTATTGAAATGAAGGAGTTTCAGCATGACAGCTAATAGTCTGGATTCCAACTACAGGGAATCAATTAACAGATTGAGTCCATATGGAAAAGAAAACAAAGGAGAAAAAAGAAGACATGAATGGAGAGTAAGGCCACTGAGGATCTCACACTAGAAGAGCTGCCTTAACCTCCCTTCCCAGATTAATGCTTATGAATGGAGGCAGGGTAAAGAATAAAGGGTTATAAATAATGCTGAAGAGATGATTTGTGTTGTTCACTCCAAGATGCTGCTGATCTCTCTCTCCCACCCACCCCCACACCCTTCATCCAGGTTATTTACACCCATATGGAGTGATTTTTTTTTTCCCAAAAAATTAGGGGCAGGGAATAATTCCCTTTTAAAAAACCAGAAATAAAGCCCTAAAAGAAAATCGAGTGCTACATTTTGAATGCTAAGCAGTGATTTTTGACAAAGGACAATAACATACCCTTGCACTACCACCATCTGAGCAGCTCTTCCTATTCCTTTTGAATTCTTTTTTTTTTTAATATTTTATTTATTTATTCATGAGGGAGGGAGAGAGAGAGAGAAGCAGAGGGAGAAGCAGGCTCCCAAGGAGCAGGGAGCCTGATGCGGGACTCGATCCGAGGACCTTGGGATCATGACCTGAGCCGAAGGTAGACGCTTAACCATCTGAGCCACCCAGGCACCCTCTTCCTATTCCTTTTGAATTAATTATGGCTTTAGAAATTTGAGTTTAAAGAATTTGAGGGTATAATAATTGAATGTTTCTGGTTTTGAACATTAACAGGTAAATAAAATACAGGCTTTTCAAAACATAAATAACTCCTGTTTTATTTTTGGCTGTTTTAACTGTTTTCATTCTCGAGATTTCTCTTACTGGATACACAATGCAGATTGTGAAAGAGAAAACTGCTTCATAGATTCCAATCCAAAGAATGGAAAAAAATATTTTTAAAAATCTATTCAATGCCAAGTTTAATATAAATAAAATTGGTTAGAAATGGTAACATCATACCGAACTCCTAAAAGAGGTGTTTTAATAAGTAGTTACCCAATCTAAGACTCATACGCTGGCTTTGTCATCAAGCACAGAGTTCCCCAAGGACATTCTTCAGCTTTTTAGTCCACATTAAATCCACGGCTATAGGTTTCTAGTTCTAGAACAGCTTCCTGGAAAAATCAGAGTCTTACCTTTACACGTCTTCCGCAGATGTTTCTTGGTGCTTTGAAAAGTCCTGAGGTCTATGTCAAACGGCCATTCTCGTGCTCCCAGGGTCTTAGGGGCTTGGAGAAATCCCAACACCTGCTGCTACCACTGAGTGTCGAGGCCAGAAAAGCTTCAGGGTTTTGACAGCAGGATCACTGAGCCACAGCCAAAGCTTGGGAAGCCTTAACAACTGAAAGCAAGTGTAGAGGGCAACGTGGTACCCAGCATGGGCTCAATCGTAGCAGCAGGGGGAGGAATATTCCTGCCCTCACAAGGGTATAGAGGCAGCCATCAGGGAACCCAGGCTCTGTCAATGGACAGGGCGGAGCAAGTGGAGACATGACCACACAGCACGAGACCCTGGGGGAATGGAACAACTAGCACAGAGCTCAGGTAGCGCTTGAAAAGAATCACCAAAATTCCCCGACAGAACACAAGAAGCAATGGCGAAATGCAACGAAATACATGGAGACAGGCCATTCTAGCATCCCATAAGAGAGCCAAAAACACGGTTGGCGGGGGGGATATGGAGCTCTAGTTCTAGAAAGAAAAGTAAGGAAGACATATTATAGTATGCCTACTGTATTTGAGCTTAAAAATCTAACAGGTGACATAAAAATGCCTAAGTCCCGTCATTATCACATTCATATTAAGATAAGGAAATTTACAAATATATCAAACCACAGGGCGCTAATCCACAAGGCAGCAGAAATTAAAAGGCAAAGTTGTCCATTATTGGAGGAGAAAATGTAACAGAAGTTTTAAACTGAGCTGATTTTTAACTTGAGAAATCATGAAAACTGCTTTTTAAATAAGAACAACAAATGCTTTATCAAATACATCACTTTGTATTCTGATCAGATTAGGAAGACTGAGGAATTCAATGAGATAAGAGAAAAAGAATATGAAGAAAAAGAAGCAATTGGACAAAGAGCATTCAGAAATTAGAACAGGACGACAGAGAAGTAAATGGAAGAAGAAAAGAGGAGGAAGACAGGAAAATGTGACCAACATACTAGGTGTTAAATGCACCCTCAGATAAACCTCTCACTAAGACTCTCCTGAAACTGGACTTCGTAATACTCTGTTGTCCAGAGAGCTCCTTCTAGTTTGTTAACCACTGTTCACAGCTCTTCAGTGACTCACAAGGCCTCAGGAACTCATCTGGAGGGGCCCACTGAATATTAAATATCCAACAGGTAGAAAAGACAGACCCTAAGGCAATTTTGCTTTAAGGATCAGGAGAAAATCAAGTCAGAAAGGAAATATAAACTCTGACAGAACTTTAATAATTCCTAATATGTGCCAAAATAAAAAGAATCAGCCTTACTTGGGAACTATCTTTTTTTTCAAGACTAGACACAAATTAACCATGGGTACTGTCTTATGCTTGTTTCAGAATTAAATGAGAAGAAAATCTGCCAGTTGATGGCAGCTCTATGTGTGCAATTCTTGACTTCAAGGTATTTGCTTACATATGTTTTTAAATCCAAGTTACCCAAAATATTAATAATAATCTTTTACTTGGTATCAAAAAGCTGAAATCAGCTTGTGTTAGGAAAGGTTGATTTCCATCCCTTACCATACAGATACAGTGATACAGATATACAGTTAATAACATGCACAATCAAAGCAGTTCTTGTTGGGCAAATTTACTTATGTCCCCTAAGTCACTAAGGGTCCACCACTTTTATAAAATGAAATAGCCCTTATACTACATAATAGTAAGTACTGCACAGGTAGCTAGTACTTTCAATTTGAGAGAACTGAGAATTGATAAGGGAAGGGGGTGATGAATCTGAATTTCCCTTTAAAAATACTTTTCTTGTATAAACAGTACCTAAAGTTTAGATGTTGGTTTGAACTGAAACTTAGTATTTTAAAACACAATCATTTCAATATGATAGGTTTGGATAAGGAAAGACTGCGTGAGCCCCTATGGTAGAAACCAAATGGAAATGGACTTGAAAAAAATTAATACTCTGACTTTATTGAATAAAATATAAAAATCCAATTACAGTTTGTTTTTCTGACCTATGCTGTCAATCCCACTCATGAACATCAGTTTCAACAATCGAACCAACAAAAACTAAAACAAACAAAAAAATGTGGAAGATAGTACTCAAAAAGTGATTAAGTGTCACCAAATGCGATGTAGCAGCATCGAGGCATTTATAGAGTTTTTTGAGTTTATGGTATGTCAGGATTATTTTCAGTGGAAACAGAAAAATTCTTACTGGCTGTTTAAAAATATACATTCTATCGCTACTGAAGTATCCTAGTAAAGTAATAAGACCAGATAATCTAAATTTGTGTTTCCCTGTTGTTAAGCATCACAAGGGGAGAAATTTTTTACAAATGTACAAACAATCGTAACCCTGTACTTAATCAGCCTGGAAACATAGCAGGTGCTCAATAACTATTCACTGGCTGATATACCACATAAGAAAAGGCACTCCTCAAAAAGTGTGTGTGTGTGTGTGTGTGTGTGTGTGTGTGTGTGTGTGTGTGTATGCGCGCGCGCGCGCGTATGTATGTGTACAGGGATGGGAGGAGAGGGCGTTGTGGTCAAATAAATTTCTTAAAAGTTAAACAGTTATCTTCCTGCATGGCTTGTCAGAGCATTTATAATGCTACCATGAATTCCTAAACTTAATTGTCTACCTTTTTTATGCAATACCTATTAAACATAATCTAGGAAAATTTGGTCTATACCTTTATGCCAAACTTATTATGTCTATATCTTCCAATTTAAATGAAAGACACGGGTGAACTATTAATTGGTATATATTCGTGTGTGTTCTAAATTATAAGAGGAAAGAGATATATATGTATTTTAAGTCATACGGCAGGCTTTGTCAAAATGGGAAAATAAAATTTTAGAGTGAGAAAAACTGAGATAGCTCATTCGAATTATTCATTTTACTGACAGAGAAACTTGCTCAAGGAAACTACCTTGTATTGGTACATAAATCTATCAGCAATGTCAAAGACCCATCCTGTGCAACTATCTAATATATCCAGTATCTTACTAATTTGCTTACATAATTATCTTAAATTGAAAAGAATATTCCTGGCAAGAACTATGCATACTAAATAGTTTCTTAAGTTAAAATTCTATACTCTATTGCTGTTTTAAAAAGGAGGTGCTCATTTAGAATTGAAAGGAGGAAAAACTGCTTTCATATACTAAAAAGTCATATTTTTTTTAGATCAGTGTGGGTCATATGAAAAACAAGAGTAAAAATTATGTAGTGGAAATTACAATGGAAACTTTGTTCCATATACTGAGGTATTTAACAAACTTCAGGATTAGTATCTTCAAGTAGTAAAGCTGGGAATACATAGGAACTTCATTTATGGAAGATATATATATATATATATATATATATATATATAAGATCACAGATCAGGTCACAAGTGTGAAAACTAGGACTCCCCTCTAAAACAACATTCTGATGTTCAGATAATCAGAGGCCACTTTCCAATGGGCGCCGTGTCAGTCCTTGGGAGATCAGCCCTTTCCCAAAAGATACCTTTGTGAACTGGCTCCCCATATGCCTTATTCACTCACCAGCATCCATTAGCCAACTCCATGCTTTATCTTCAATAGATAAGATACAGCTTCTTCTTGCCATGGTGCCATGAAAAGGATCCAGAAGGTTCCCTTTAAACAACATTTCCTGAGTGACTGCTGTAGCACCAAGAGTAAAGGATGTGCCAGGTCAGCCCCTTTTCCTTCCCAGCAGTATTAGCAGCAGCGGCAGCAGCAGAAGCTGGAGCAGACCGTTTAGACCCAACTCCTTGCAGGATGCTAGCCAAAGCACTCTTGTTTACTCTATACCTAGACAGAGTTTGCCCGTATGTTTGCACCTTTCCCAAAGTGTCAAAACAGGTGTTTTCCTGTGATCACGCTTAAAATCTGCTCCCCAAACAAGGTGATAAATATACTCTTACTAGGAAATTTTAAGTTTCTAATTCTATGGAAAACATGTTCTTAAAGGTTTACTTTATTATAAGGAAGCCTTGACGAATCCTTTTAGGAGTTCATTCGCCCTCCTCGCTTCTAATAAGCAAGTGGATTGCCCTAAAATTTCCTGTTAATGAAAGAAAGGATGTTACCATATAAAATAAATGCCATCATGCAATACTGGTCACCTCTTTCCTAATGCTCTATCTGCCTTCCTGGCATAGAGTCACTTTTTGCAAACACTGTTTTCATAATCTTTACAACACTCCCAACAGATGGGGAAATATCAGGTCTTATGATCTTTATTTTACAGAAGAAACAATGACTTCTTTGCTATTATATTTTATTCCCATTTTGATGTTATTGATGAGTTGGTTTTACTTCCAGTACTGTTCAACTTGATGAGTGGCTAGAATATGGCTGCGCAACAGAGGCAGGCAGGTAACATCATTAACAAAGCATTTCCTTTACTTAACTGATTGATCCACAGCTAAAATCCTATAGATATAGACAGTATCTAGAGACTTTTAAAAATATCAATAGCTCAAAAAAACTTTCAATAGCTCAACCAAGGATAAGTGTAATACTATTTATATAAATACTATTTACTTATTAGAGCATAACCGTATAGAGTTATAAATACCAGAACACAGAAACATTGTTCCCTGCATAGTAGAGAATACCAATTCTCATTAGCAAAATGGAAACCCTACATACACAGAATCCTAGTATATAATGTTTCTTGTATATTAATACTTTTCATGTTCACTTCATCATCAAAGTAATAACAGGAACAATCATTAACACTTATTGAATGCTCACGAAGTTGCCAGGCATTGTTCTTAGTGCTTTAAACGTGTGATCCCATTTAATCTTCACAGCAACTACAGATCATATATTATTACTGCCTCATTTCGCAAATGAGGATACTGAGGTTCCGTCAGGTTCCATCACACGTTTAAAAGTCACAGAGCTCGCAACTGACACAGACCCAGGTTGTCCAGTTCAGAAGTGGAGGTCTTAAACATTTTGCTAAAACTGCCACATTCGTTTTGGTTTTCATTGCTTTGTGTATTGCATGTATACCTTTAACAAGATAGACATTAGAAAGTGTTTGCATAAAATTAAGATTTAATGATGGCTAACACGTATACGGTACATATTATGTGCCACGAAAATTCCGTAAGTTCTTGACACGCATGTATTATAAGGTTCACAACACCCCAACAAGGCAGACAGGCTCCCATTTCGCAGGGTACATCAGAGGAATCGGAGGCCTAGAGCGTCAAGGGAGTTGCCAAAGGTCATACAGCTACTAAGGAGCGAGTGTAGTGAACTTTGGATCCCGGGAAGGCAGCTCCTAAAGTTGTGGTTTTATGCCTACACCTATCCTTCACTGCCTCTTGAAAGCTGATGGCGTTTTACACTTAAAGAAAGGGAGTAAGAAATGCCAGGTCTGGCCGGAACCCTGCTGGGCAGAGGATCTGCTATTCCTGTCTTTTTTCAAAAACTTAATATGCATAAAGTACATCCATTTATATGATATACAAGTCTACATCCATTTCTCTTAATGATGTTTACTAACAAGGAATTACACGTTTCATATGATTCTCAGGTTTTAAAAAAAGTCAAGGACAATTTCAGTATCCACATTTTTTTTTCAAGTATATCATATCTTCAGAAGCACTAACAGGGTGGTAACATTATTATCAGCACAGTACTGGTCATCCTGTTTGGGGGATTACCACTGTTGGCAGCCATACTTCTATTTCATTCCCATCATTTAATTATACATTTAATTATGTGCAGGACCAAGACAATAATTATGAGATTAGAGGAAGCTGCAGAAATCTGAGGATCATCCCTTGAAGTATGGGCTGAAGCAACCCTGGACCAGGATACCTCCTTGAATATTCAGCAGCTGAAATGACCTTCTTTGAATTAGCGCTTGAGGACACAAAGCCACCTGGGTCACCTCAGCTCAAATCAAGCACTTACGGTCACAAAGGTAAGACTGAGAAACCAACGAAGAATACTGAGACCTATCTCTTTAATTTGGCAGCAAGCCTAACTCTCTGGACTAAGTTTGGCTAGCTTCAGCTTTTTTGGCTTTAACCTAATATAAATTAGCCCAAGAAACCATGAAAACTTCAGAGAGAAAATATAGTTATGGTGAAGGCATCTACCCTCTCAGAATTTAGCCACAAGCTATAAGAAATGCAGCCATTTGGTGGCATTTAGCAAGAAGAAATTTAGGTGCCCATGTGGCACCAGCTTGAGGTGATGCATTCGAGCCTATTTACTCTCGATTATTTTTAAAATCAAGAGTTTCCAAAGAAGGAAGATGACAATTCTTTACCCAATTTCTAGACAATTATCTTCTCTGCAGAATTCCTTGAGTGGTGGCATTATACATTGTACCCACATAAGCTTGATTCACTCTTTGGCTGACAACAAGATTTAAATTTATCTGTCTTCGATGTTAACACTAAATTAACACAAAAGTTATTCAAAAGTTCTTTAAAAAACACATTCTGACATCTTTTGGGTGAGAAAAAACAAAGTAACCTCATAGGCTTTTACATAAGATAGATCATAACAAATTATTTCTATGACCTTGGCCCTACTAAGTGATATGCTAGGAAGATCAGGCCTCATTTATGCAGTCATCTGAATATACATATATATTTTTTTCTGACTGTTAAAGTTATATACTGTTCAAGTTACCTACCGCAGCTACAATTATTATATATATATATATATGATTATACATATATATATCTCCAAACATATATATATTTGGATATATATTTTTTCTGACTGTTCAAGTTGTATATTGTTCAAGTTATCTACTACAGCTACAATTATTATTTCTTGCTGATGTTAATGACAGTGCAATTAAAACTGTAGAAATACAAGTTTGGGTCATTTTAAGACTTTACTTTCAGAAAGATCTCAAACAACACAAGTCATAGTTGTAGATGAATACATTAGCTGCTTCTTATTCATCAGCTCTTACTGGGTATACTCTCTTTTATTTACTTCCTTGAACTTGGCTTTATCTGGAAAGAAATACATTAATAAGCACCAACTCTAGGTCATACTTAGATCAAAACAGGTAAGGTTTCAGTGAGCTACCCAATTCTTCTGAAACTAAACAACGCATTATTACCAATCCTTAACTAATACCAAGTCAGTCAAGTATAAACTGGTGACCTAAAAGTGAAAAGCTCTAACTGTGCATTATAAATTCCTGAGTCATTTTGACCTCACAACTTTATGCTTTAAATAAACCTACATGCTAGCTAAAGAAAATCTACAAGGAACTCAGTATGACTTAGTGTTTCCAAACCAGGAAAAGGAAGGACTTTCAGTGTTCGAGATAACGTTTGTTTTCTGTAGTCTGGAAAATAAACATTTCCTATGCAGTTAAGCACAGAGATTGTGTGTGTGTGTGTGTGTGTGTGTGTGTGTGTGCGCGCGCGTTTGTGTGTGGAAAGTGCCTGTGTTTGTGTGGGTAAGGGTAGAGAGAAAGAGAGGAGGAGAGGAGAAAAGAGAAAGATTTTTTTAGTAGTATTTAGTGTTCATGTAACACCAAATTTTGTGCTGGAGTTAGAATTTATCTCAGCAAGTTATGTGCACATGAACCATGAAAGAATTGCAATTTGCCAATAAAATCAACAGGAAATGCTTACCAGATCATATATATCACATTTCTATTAATCCAATGATACAGAATGATATATTACGTATATAGTTACATCAAGTAATATAAGTCTTGGGTCTCTAAATTGAATTGATTTGTTATCTTTATTTCAATATACATAAGCCATTTTCTGCATTTAAATAATACCAGTATTTTTTTTCCTGATAGAAGAATAAGTGGGTTTTGTCCTGATACCATGCTTATATAACACTAGAGATATCTACTTTATTTTAATACATTTCACGTAATTTATTGCTTACTGGAGTTACTAAGCAATGACGAGAGAAGTAATCTTTTGTATTTGTCAAGTATGGATACATATGTAACCTATTAAACAACAGTTTAAGTTGTCAAGGCATGAGTAAGGTCTTCTACTGCAACCATCCATCTTCCCATGTGTTAGTTGGAAATGCATCATACAAGCCTCTGTTCCATGTCTGGGTTCAAGATTATGAATTAAAAAGCACAAATACCACCTCCATGTCAGGGATATGGCTACATCTACTAGTTCAGTTAATCCTCATTGCACAACTTTGAGGCAAGTATATTACTGTTCCCATTTGACAGATGAGAACATTCAGAGAGGTTGGAAAATCTGTCCAGCAAAATCAAAATGCCCCTAATACCTTGGGTAGAAACTAGGGACTAGTGGGATTACACACACACACACACACACACCTTGCATTGGTTACTTTCTTGTTTTCTGTTATAGGGATTGTTATACAAATTTTTTAAGATACACAGAGAGTTGCAATTTATATTTTTAAGGATTTATAGAAATAATTCTTAAACTATTTGGAGACTGCTACTCCTTCAGTTGTCAGATAAGAAAATATAAACGGAAAATTATTTCAAATCAAATAGCATACATATTTTAAAATGCCCAGAAGGCTTTTACTTTATCCAACACCCGAAAATAGTAGAACATTAGTTTGTTTTAAAAGAAATACATTTTCTTTACGCACGCTTGACACTGCTGGCTGACCTAAGCCAAGTCAACTCGGCTAAGGAGTAAACATTCTTTAATTTTTACAGGGTTCTTTCAATGTCAAATAGAAAATTTCCCCATTTTTATTTTTGTTTGTTGTGAATATGAACTTTATATTGTATAATTAAATGCAACCAGTATTATTCCTTTTTTAGACCCAGTTTCACTCCTAAATTAGCTCCTGTCTGTCTCTTAGCACAGGCACTTCCAGTTCTACATTCCTGTTTAAAATATTTCTTCCCCCTCTCTCCACCTTTTTTTTTTTCCCCTTCCAGAAATGACTAATCTTCCTGTTATTCTACTCTGTCAGTTTTTCCCCTGGTATTCTTTTCATGTTGCGTAACATTTACTTTTCAACGACTCCTTTCAGAATTTTACTACTGTATCCTTGATGCTAGCCTTCCGTTTTCAAGAGATTAAAACAGTCAATATTTATATATTAGCAAGCTTTTTTGTCAACTTCTGTGGTATTCAGATTAAGCTATCTCCTCAAGCCAAAAATGCAACTATTCTTTCAACTGACATAATATAAATGTCCATTTGTTGATCGTCAAAGTTAAATTCAGTCTAATCCCCCGTTACCAGACACCACAATTAAAGGCCTCAGCTTTTTGTCTCCTTTCAAATTTCCTGATAAGTGTTAGCAAAGCAACATAATGCCACTTCTTTTTAAATTTTCTTAAAAATATAAAATAAAATTCTCTTGCTTTCCAGGACTTCTCCATAACATCATAAAACATGTTAGCATAGACTTACAAGCAGAATGTAAAGTTTTTCATCTTTCTGATTTTCAACTGCAAAAAATTATTTTAATTATATGCCAAGAATCTGACTTCTACCCTAATTTTAAGTGATCGTAACAGCTATATAGCTATATACTATCTGAACATGAGTAAAGAGTAGAGTTTCTATCCTAAGAGAAAATATCTGAGTTTTAGAATTACAATGGTTATTTAAATATACCTAAAATTTATGACATAATATTGCATACCTAACAAAATGTTAATCATAAGATTTACATAGTCCATTTTTTGGCAAATTCAATATTATATTCATTTTCTCATAGTCATAGAATCCCACAGGGAAAGCAGTATCTTACTAGTCCTATTTACACTGGCTATTCATACAAGAAGATGCTCACAAGGTTTTAGAAACTGTACATTTTTCTAAAATCCAAGAACACCTTTAAAAATCCTGAAAAAATATACTTTAATTACAGGAGATAAAGATATCCCTAAAATATCACCCTCACTTTCTGAAAATAAAAGGCAAATAAAGTTCAAATATTTGCTTAAGTTAAAATAGCATAAGCTCTTCCTATTTACTTTTAGTCTTGGGGGAATCCCCATTATTTCCTCTTCTTACTTTTTCAAATGACAAAAACTAAAACTTCCTTGTTTGTCACATATAATGCCCTATATGTGGGTATAACATTTTTCTTTGGGTCAGCACAAATAACTTAAATTTCAAGCCTCTTTATTGTCCCTATTTCAGACTCTAGGGCCAGGGACTCTAAAGTCAGCTAAAACATTCTTGGTTAATATTTATCATATAGGACATCAAATGTTATAGTAACCCAAACCAGATTCATATACATTTTTTTAAATTACATCACATTTTATGTAGAAAACAAATCCAAACTATATATTCTTGAAAAAGGCAGGGCTCATGTCCATGTCCCCAGCAACTAGCACAGTGCTTACCTCTTCCCACTCCCCCAAAAAAGATGCTCAATAAATATCTTCTAAGTGAATAAATTCAATCATATAGGGGTATATTATGGTAAATAAAAAAGGAAGGACAAGATACTTCCTGGCACCATGGGAAGTAATATTCTCAAAATGCATTAATCAAAAAAAAAGAGGATTAGGAGAAATCATTCAAAGAATATCCCCAAAGGAAATTTTTTTTTAAAGATTTTATTTATTTATTTGAGAGAGAGAATGAGAGAGAGAGAGAGAGAGCACATGAGAGGGGGGAGGGTCAGAGGGAGAAGCAGACTCCCTGCTCAGCAGGGAGCCCGATGCAGGACTCGATCCTGGGACTCCAGGATCATGACCTGAGCCGAAGGCAGTCGCTTAACCAACTGAGCCACCCAGGGACCCTCCCCAAAGGAAATTTTATCAAAATTTGTTAGAGTACTTTGAATGAAGCTGTAACTATACTTAGGTCTTATATTAAGAAAAAATATATGATGTCTGATTAAAAAAAATTAAAAAAATAATGTCTGATTCTGAAATTGATAAATAAAACTAATGCATTTTCCCCACCTTTCTAATATAAACCATATTGTGGAGGTGCCAATTAGTTAGTAGGAAAAAGTTCTTTATAGAAAAATTACAGGTAATTAATGTAGGAAGAATGATATAACTAAAAGTCACCATCCTGCAATCCCTAAAAAAAAAAAAAAAATGAAGCTATGAACTGATCAACAATGAGGTGAAACCACTGGTCCAAGTCTGATGAACTTTATAGGACTGGCCCAGGCTGACCTGAACTCACTCACAGATTTCATCATCATTAAAAGTGGGAACAACAGGGCACCTGGGTGGCTCAGTTGGTTAAGCGACTGCCTTCGGCTCAGGTCATGATCCTGGAGTCCCGGGATCGAGTCCCGCATCAGGCTCCCTGCCCAGCTAGGAACCTGCTTCTCCCTCTGGCCCTCCCCCCTCATGTGCGCTCTCTCTCTCTCTCTCTCTCATTCTCACTCTCTCAAATTAAATAAATAAATCTTTAAAAAAAATAAAAAAATAAAAGTGGGAACAACAGAAATTATGCCCCCTTGGTGTGATGCAATCGAAACTACAGAGCACCACGTAGGAAGTATTCTCACCAAATAATAATAAATTGCATTACAACTGAACTCAAGTCTAGCTTCAATTTCTAGTCCTCAGAAAATTGGGGTGATGGAAGAACAAGGTAAACATCACTATAAGGAAACAATTAGCTAAATTTAGAAGCTCAAATCTTCATGACAATGACTGAAGTTTTCAACAAATAAAGGTATGGGGAGAAA